CTGGGACAGATCGCTAATCTTGACGACCAGCCACCGGGTTATACTATACATGGAAAGAATCGATCGGTACTTGTATCTGCTTGACCCTAGATTAAAGTAGACGTGTTTGTAGTACGAACGCAGTACGTAAAAGACAAAAATCGCGTCCATAGATCGAGCGATGGCTGGTTCGTTCGCTATGCCTTGTTAAAAGTGCAGACCGTTCTAGCTCTTCAGCGATATTCAGAACGATATGCTGTTATTCGTTGATCCAAAAGTAGTCGAGCAATCATTCAACCATCGAAGCAAGCCACTTAGTAATCTTGAAGGAACGTCGATGAAGAAGTCTCAGAATTCATTATTATGACTGAATCAATCTTGAACATAGAAATCCCAATACGATTTTCATTCGTTGATTTGTCCAAAACCTTATTATAACATTTGCTAAACTTAAGTTAAATATCTAATATATATTTGTCATGCTAGAAAGTATTTTTTTAATCAATGAAAATTTAAAATCTTAATATTTACGTGCCATCCATTCCCGATGAGTGAAAATACGCGTGAGGTGCCTCTCCAGGCTGTGGTCTTCGCTGACTCGTTTACAGAGACGTTTCGCCCCATTACACTTGAGCTGCCTAAGGTTCTTCTACCTCTTGCTAACGTTCCAATGCTCGAATATTCGCTTGAATTTCTAGCCGCTTCGGGAGTCCAAGAAGTTTTACTCTTTTGCACATCTCATACTGAGATTATTGAAGACTTTATTAAGAATGAATCTCAAGTGTCCAGACGTGTTAATGTCAAGTGTATTAGTAGTCCAAGTTGTCTTACAGCAGGTGATGCATTGCGTGAATTAGATCGTCAGCAATTAGTACAAAGTGATCCGTTCATTTTAATGAGTGGTGATGTCGTGGCCAATGTTGATCTTCAATCTGTGATTCGAGAACACAAACAACGCAAGAAAATGGATTCCAACTCTATTATGACAAGTATATTCAAAGAATTACGTCCGAGTTGTACCACAAGTGTTCGACCTTTAGACACAGAACTTATCGTTGGGATTGACGCTGTCACATCTCAACTTGTGCTATACGAAGATGAACCGGAACACCGTAGCCAACGACTTGCTACACTTTTTTTCGAAGATCATGCACAAATTGCAGTACATAGTGATTTTCTCGATTGTTACTTAGATATTTGTTCATCGGAAGTTTTACTCAAGTTTGCTGAAGATTTTGATTATCAAGATCTTCGTCGCGATTTCTTGCATAATGAAGTTCAAAATTACGAATTGGGAAAGAAATTTTTTGCGAAAGTTGTGACACAAGAATTTGCTGCACGAGTGATGGATCCACGAACATATGCTGGTGTCTCACGTGCAATTTTACAACGTTGGGTATTTCCTATGGTACCTGATGCGAATTATCTTGGTACTAGTGCTACAACGCAGTATGTGTATTTACGTGGAATGCGATATAAGGATACAAATGTGACATTAGCAAGGACATGTGATATACAGCAAGAATGTATAATAGGAACATGCACGACGATTGGAGAATATTCACGTGTACATAAGAGTGTGATTGGTCAAAAATGCGTGATCGGACAGAATGTAGTGATCGATGGTAGTTTTTTATGGTCGAATGTCGTTGTAGAAGATGGCGCTGTTATCACAAATGCGATCTTATGTGATAATGTCATTATTAAGCGTGGTGCTGTCATAAGTGAAGGTTGTATCCTTTCGTTTGGTGTTGTGATTGGAGAAAACTTTACTTTGGCACCATTTACAAAAGTGACAAAAAAAATTGCTATGATTGATTCAAATGATTTTTTTTCAGATGACGATGAAGAGACAGTTGTGAACAAGAAACAAGTTTTAGATACAACACAAATGCAATGGAATGTTAACGAGGTTGGAATTGGTGGCAGTGGGCGTGTCTGGACTTTAGAAGACGATGAGATTGATGTGGAATTTGATAGTGAAGATGAGAGTGATGAAGAGGTTGTTAAAGCCAAGAAAAGGATCCTTCGCTTTGAAAAGCTTCAAAGTCATCTCATTGGAGCTCAAGATGTTGTAATGAAAAAGATGCAACGATGGGAAGAATGGGATACACTTAGTTCATCGGAAGAAGAAGATGAAGAAGAGGATCTGTTGACAAATGTTAATGCATTAACACTCGATGTGCCATTTCAACAGATTATTCGTGAAAACGTGTGTACGGGAGAAGCTGCTGGGCATAATGTCGATGATTTGTTTATGGAGATCAAAAGCTTTAAATTTGCGCAGAATCGATCCTTTGCTGAAGTGATTGGAGCGATTATACCAGGATTGCTGGATCTTGTACCCACAGGGATCGGACAGTCGGCTTTGACAAGTCTAGCGAGCGTGCGAACAAAGTTTCAAAGATGGAATACAGTCATTCAACGATGTTTAGTGGAAGAAACCGACCAGCTCGCGATTGTGGAAGCATTAGAGAGATATTGTACCGAACCAAAAGACCGTCGAGAGGTGTGGCTTCCACTTTTTCGGTTCTTATTACAGATTGTGTACGATCTTGAGTGGGTGAGTGACGACGTGATTCTTCAATGGTACAAAACAAAACAAACATTTTCAAATAATGAAAATTGTCACGATGCTTTAGCAGCTGCATCCAAAAAGGATGTACAAGAATTTATTGATTGGCTTCAAGAATCTGATAATGAAGACAGTGATGATGAGAATTCGAACGAAGAGTGAAGTGTGTACTGCAGCACTAACCCAGTTGGACGGTACAATGTCCCTCGTATTGCGTCACTCTTGATTCTCATCCCAATGTCAGTAGAAAATACAGAGACTTAGTCTGATTAAACCACTCGTTCGACAATATCTCTTAAATCCCTACGATCTGCAATTATGTTATCTGTCTTCTTATTGCAATCTCTTGGTTGACAAGTCACTGAAGTTGATCATCTGCACACGGTCGTCCTTAAACCAGAAAATCCTTTTCTTACTTCTTTAAAACAAGGCCTGTCCTCCCATCTCTTGCAGATCTCTAAGGAGATGGCTGGGGTTTCTCCTTTTATAGAAAACCTTTTATACCTTTTTCTTCGAGTGACAACGTTTCGAATCAGGTTACGGAAAGTTCCTGGACAGCTACAACTCAGACTTTGTCGAGACGTTTCGTATTGGAAGATCCATTAGAACGTTAACGTCCCACTTTAAGATCTTAATTTAGGATAGCATACCTTCTACTGGACGAGAAGATCGATCGATTGCACTCTCCATATTACTATTTCCTCGCTTTCCCATGTTTTGGTCCGCAGTCTTGGATCTCAAGACGCAACGGCCACCGACTCGGTCCTACGGATCCTTTAATCGTCCTACTAGCACCAGCACCAGCACCTTCCACATTCCACAGAGTATTCCGGAACACCAGCCAATATCACAATTCACATCACCATTACCCGATCGATTTCGTCTTGAAGAGTATATTGAGCGTCCTGATACGGTTTCTGCTCGTACCCAAGCATCACTACAGCTTTCAGAACAGACGCAAACGGCACTTAAGTTATTACTTCAACGCGAACGCGAGTCAAAAAATACGATTCAACCTCAAGATGTGCGAGCTATGAATCGAATGAAGAAGACGCGCAACGATTTACCGGAACGTATGCCATTGCTTCAGTCAATTGATATTGATTCTGTCTATAATCAAGAAGAACCAAATCCGCAAGAGAGCAGTAATGAGCATAATTATTGGATGCAAGAGTTAGAGCGACGACGTGCTGGATTACGTAAAAGCAGACGTCGAACTTGTACTTCCATGTCTGAGAGAGCAACGACATCACCTTTTAAAGTGGGTCTAGTCATGTGTTCCGTGCCTTTGGTGCTTATGTTTGGCTTTGTGCTTTTTGTATTTCTATCTGGCACTCGATATGAGACTGCGAAGGAATCTGTGAAGGAGTTTGTGGGCATGGGAACAGTAGGAAAGCAGGACGAAAAGAGTATCAACACAATTACTCGTGACAATCAGGTCGTGATGAATTGGAAGGTTTCAAAAAGGCTTCGTAGCGTAGTAAGAGAGTAGTGAAGAAGAAACTTGGATAGAGTGAGTATTGAATGTACGAAGAAGTTAGTGTCTGTACGACAAGAAACTAATATTTGGGTATTGACATATTTTCAAGAAATGTCGTAGGGCTTACGTTGTAAAAAAGAGGTGAAACAAACCTTTTAAATACGCGATAATTTCCCCAGCTCCAAGTTTTGACTCACCGTAAATGCGATCAACAAAAGTAATGGGTATCTCTGTGATTGAATACTGACGTTCACGAGCACGGACAAGAATCTCCATTTGAAAGACGTAGCCTAATCCATGGATCGTACTCATTATGTCTTCGATCACGTCGCGTTTGTACAATCGAAAGCTACCGGTAAGATCTGACACTGATGGATTAAGTAGCACTGTTGCCAAATAATTGGCTACACGACTTGTTACTTTACGACGTAAATCCCAACCGTAAACCTGAGCATATTTGTTTGTCAGCAAAAAATCAAATGATATTCTTTTCATTTGAACGTACACCACCACCAGAGATGTAGCGTGTACCAGTCACAATATCACACTTTTCTTCAGCTTGCTTTCTGTTAAATAAAAAAAAAGTCAAACTCAATGCTACTCAATTGAAAGTGATTGGAGTTTGTAGTATACTTGATGAATTCTGGAATGAATTTTGGCTGCGTAAGTATCATCACAAAGACGATGAATATGTTATCATTTGACCGATAAAATCAAATGTGACCGACATGATGTGAAAGATCTGCGTCCATGAGAAACACAAAGTCGCCTGTTGCCTTCTTAAGTCCATCACGATAAGCAGATCCAAGACCTAATTTGCCCTTGCGTGCCAAAACGACAATCTTTTCTTTACCATAAATGTGCTGCAATTCACGTGCTACTTGCAACGTGCCATCTGGACTATTGTCTTCTACAATCACGATCTCGTACTCGAGTTTGCTACAGAAGGAAACGAATGCAAATTCGTGATCAAAGTAAGTGTAAAAAGTATTTGCAAGCAATTCAAACCACGTACTTATCAACGAACGTCTTGTCTAACAACCACACAATTAATGGTAGATTTTCACGCTCATTGTATGTTGGTAAGAGCACCGAGTACTTATGCTGTGTAACCATGTTGAGACTTATTCCACGTGTGCGAGAATTAGAAAATAATGTCGACCACATTATGATGTTAATATATTGCAATACTTATTATAGATGATTGGACTCAAGGAGCTGCTAGAAGCTGAATTCGTGTGAACTTGAACGCATATATACCTCTTTCAAGCACGAGCAGTATGGATGTTGAATTAAATCTTCCAAAATTGTCAGCACGTTGTAATGACTATGATTCTCGCTGTCATTGTGACATTGTGGCACCAATACTCATGGGAGAAAGTTATAATATGTTGTTGGTAGTACTTTTTTGTAATACAATGCTTTTTTTAATATTTTGGACTCTAACTCTAGTCGATTAATACTTTAATCGGTCATCGCTTGTATGGTCAATCGTTAGTCCTCGTCTTCATCGTCGTTAAGCGACTCCCAGACGTTCTTTGTCTCGACAGCCTTTGTAGCAGGTGCAGTCATGCCTTGGAGCATCGCCTTAGAAGCATCTACCCCCAACGACGGAAAAGAACGCTCACTTTCCAGCTGAATGCGACGGTTCATGCGGTGGCGCTCCTCCTGTTCTGCCCATGTAGTCGCTACTGACTCTTTGCCGCTCAAATTCTTGTATTTTTTAGGCTGTTTAGCCCATTGATACGATGTTTTTTCCTGCTCGTCGTCTTTGTTCAGCGACAGGTCTGAAAGTACTTTGCCCGATGGTGTTGCTGCGGGCACCACGGCCTTTGGAGCAGCCGCAGCGACACGTTCGGCAGCGGTACGCTCAGCATTCTGTGCACTGTTCTTAACAATGACGTTGGCGTTGACAGTCGTCGATTTCTTCTTTTTCTTCTTGCTAAACAGGGAGTCAAGCTTCGCTTTCGGATCTTCCATCTAGATTTCTATGGTGTGCTACCGTTAATAGTATTTGCTAATATGCCTATAATAAGCTCTAGATAAAATTGTATCAGTAAGAATTGATAATGGTTTTGACATTGTGGTCACCCAATGCGCCTAGCGCGGTAATAATTATGTAAATAGCAGAATGGCATACAATAATAGTAATCTTTACTCAAGCTTACTGCGGATTATTACTTTGATTTTATGAAAAATAATCTACGCGAGTAACATGGAAAGCTGATCTCGTTGGATAGCGAATCGTTGATGAAGTGCTCTCTACTCATATTAATGTAATATATTATAGAATCGTACCTACTAACATTGACTCGCTCCAGCTAATTTTTGGCCAATGCGATGGCTTAAATGCAGTAGAGCCATACCTCTAAGCCAATCAAAAACCATATCCGCCTCAGACATTATGGAGTATGTCCAGCTGTTCAAAAAGTCAATAAGATCAGATCAAGTGCATAGACAAGTTTCGAACCTACAATAGAGCGTGCAATATTTAGAAACAAATCAAAAAGATTTGAACCCATAATATTTTCCATCTCGAGCCAGTCTCCAGACCAGTATTCTCATGATTGATTTGTAGGATGTGTTAGAATGATAATCAAATAGGTATACAGAAAACACATCATTTCTTCTTCTTCGTTGTTATTGTCTTCAAATTCTTCAGTCATTTATCATTGTGATCCCTCTAAGTCAGTTGGCTTAGAAATGCTTGCCATTCCGTGCGTAGAGTTCTCGTCACTCAAGTGTTTGATTGGCATCACCCTTTGCATTTCGCTTCATTCGGCTATTGGCCAAGTCAACGACCGCGGGTCAATCGTCCCTGAAGCTCGAAGTTTCTCGACGCACAATACGGCTGCAGCTTTCAAAGATGCGTTGCCAATCCAGAATGGATCTGGAGAGTCCAAGCTCGACATTGACACTAGCGACAAGGAGGAAAGGAGCTTGATTGGAGCTTTTCTCGATGGGCTTCAAGGTTTTGTTGATTTAGGTGGTGAAGTAGTACATTTTGGAACTGATCACTTAATATATATGGCTCACAATATTCTGAAGGATCTTGAGAATTGGGAACCACTGATCCAGCACGAGTTGGAAGAAGCATTGCAATCTCCGTTGACACAAGATCTCGTTGAGATCCTAGAAGAGTTTGATACTTTGAAGAATGAAGTGGGAAATGACCTTCTTAAAGGTCTCCATCGTATTGAAACCAAACTATATGTTTTGGAGAATTCAGCGGACGGGCTGATGAAAAAAATTGCTATTGATCTTGAGATCATAGTTCGTAGCAAAGTGGCCTATGCGGACCGAGGTGGGCAACACAGCCTTCCAAACGTAAGACACGACGAGAGTGTATCAAGTAACGAACATTATAGTGGCCGTATCGTTCCTTATGAAAGCGACCCAAGTGATGACTTTATTTACGGACTGTTGACGGAGGGTCTTTTGAATTTGAAGGAACGAACTGTCGCGCAAAACAAAGAGTTGTACACTTTGATTACGAAGTTTCAACATTCACAGGATAAAAAAAAGTGAGTTTGGCGATATGGCATTCATCGAGATGCTTAAACAACCGAAGTCACAAAATTCGGTCCGCGACGAATGGGTCGAAGAGAAATTTTCTGTCGTCCACGCCTATGAGGTATTTGCAAAGAGAGAAGAAACGAAAGCCGGTTTTTACAGAAGTGACATGGGAAGCTTGTGGCTATCGTACGCCGGGTATTGTTGGAAACATGACTTGACGAAGTCCACTTGGCAAGAGTCCTCCCCTGAAACAGTACTTAAAGAACTTCAAACTAGCGGGTTGAATGAAGACGAAGTCGTAAAGTTGGTTGTTGGCGCAAAAGATTATGTGGGCGGACAAGAGGCTATTGCTGAAATTCACATGCGTTTGTTGAAAGATCCAGAGACCAAACATCTGGCGGAACGTATAAAGCCTGAACTCGGTGAGTTACTTAGATGAAAATGCTATCGCGCTGCTGTATGTATATATCCGTATCGTATATTTTCTTACTCATTGTGATTATTATGTCAGCTAAACTGGAGCAAGCGAAAACTGAAATTTCGGCCAGTGATGCTCAAATGTTGCGCGCAAAATGATCTCAGAAAAGCAATAACTTGTCAAAGCGAGGTGTTTGTATTAAGGGCGTCAAAGTCAGGTTGTTTGCATATAGTAGGGTCACGATAGAAAGGATTGTCACACACAGACCAGATAAATTCGGGAATACAGCATCAAAATCAAGAGCAGTCGTATCGTGACGAGACGGAGGTCGTGTCTACGTCCTTCTCTTGCTTGTTCCAATAGTTCATCACCGGCATAGCAATGAAATTTCGTGCTTGCATTGGTTCGTTCGAATTTCCCTTCTTGCACTACTGATAACACTACTGCTCTTTTTAAATGGTACTTGTGCTCAATAGGCTTGTATTTGCTATAGAAGCAGCGCCTGCTTTTACTGTGGTGCTACGATGATTATTTCGCTCATTGTCAATGTTGAAATATTGTCATTTACGCCTCGAAACTATATCTAGCTAAGTGAAATTATTGTACTTAATACCAGAAGTTGATGTATTGTACTGACGCAAAATGTTCTCTTCGCATTTCTCGAGAATCACGGATGCCCAATCCTTATCGACTAACATTTGCTTACTTGTTCGCACCTTCTTTTGCAATTAATGACGTCTTACTTTTCCTTTTGCACATATACAATCACAATTGTAAACTGCAGAAATTGCAACGATTCTTACAATCGCCTAAAGGGAAACTCTTGCTTGGACACCGTCTCAATCTTTTTGTCAAGCGGCGTACAATACGAATACGTACAACTTAATTTATTTCATGAATACAACGGAGAGACAGAGCTTGCATGAGCGAATTCTCTTCTCGCTATGAACACCGATACGGAATCGCAGCCACATACACAAAAGGATCAAGACCTTAGAACCTTCGACATCTTTTGTGATATGTATCTCACAAAAGGCGATCTTACAACTATGATAAATTCTAAGTACATGCATGCACGTTCTCAACTAAATACACATGGAAATCACAAAGCTCAGCCTTTCAACGTACTTAAGCATGTCGTCTTCACATTGAGAAAAAATATGAAAAGTTTGTACTACTGTGGCGATTGGTCCAATTCAAAACGACAATTCACTTCGCAGCGGCATTGTATTCACAATCATTTTCTTCAGGTTTTGGTCGGTACGTTCATCTACCTTACGTACGCTTTTTGTAGTTTGTATTTGCCGAATACAAACTCACAATGCATTTTCGTCATCTTTTTTAAAATGTTCACAAGTACCAACGTATCGGTATAAGATGAGGATGATACGGAAAGGAGAAGTCTGTGACTGTTAGGCACTTGCCAAGGGATCATTATGAGATTATGTAAACCGCATTAACCAGTGTTAGTTTGAATAGAAACAATCCTTAATATATCACTCGTGAACTAAAATAGCTACATAAATAATGTGTTACGTTAAAGCTCTCACGTCTTTCCGCTTCTAGGCAGAGCGTAGGAACCCAAACTGTGCGTTTGCTTACGCAAAGTTATTGAGTCTAAACTTCCTCCATGCAAAGTGTCCGGCAACCCCATTTCACTTTGTAGCACTTGAAGTCAACACCACGATCGCGACTAAGTGTCTGTCCCTGTGGCAGCTAGACCCCTTAGAAATCTCGTGTCTAGTGTTTATTTTGACGGGACAAGGAAAATGGTGGCTTCAAGGGATCAAATGGAAAGATTGCCCTCCTGAAGCCATTTGTCAACTATGCGAATGCGTTGACGAGACAGCTCTAAAAGCGCCCCTACCGGGTGCCGCTGGCAGAACAGAGGACAATCACCGTCGGCGCAGATTGTTGAAAATTCCATCTGAGTATGTTGGACGAAAAAAGTTGAAAGAGCAACGATATCAGCCATGATCCGGACGTAGCAACAGCACGTTGCACTTGCGAGCTGTAAGTGAGGAGACCATGCGCGAAAATCGGCGTTAATGTGCAGTACTGTGTGCGAAAGAAATGTTTGTAATCAAAAATTCATAGCAGAATATGTCGGGGTGTCTGTACCGCCAAACCAGACGTTCAAGGTGCACTCAAGGTTCTAGTCCACATGTCTAAGGAGGGGGGATCTAGCGGTCTAATACAGGAGCTAGAAATTCTTCTCGATACAATGACGTCAGATTACCTTTCTTCTTTTGAAGAAGAGGTGGGAGGCCCATCGATACAGAGAAATTTCTGAGCCAAGAGAGGCGAAGTGAGATTTCGAAAGCAGTAGCTCTGTAAGCGTGCCATAGACCATAAATCCCAGTTAATCCAAAGAGGACGAGAAAATGACCTCGACATTTTAGGTATCTCCAGGGTATTAGCAGATGCTACGTCCATGAGAGTAAAATGTCTACGTTGCGTACCCCTCTCTCACGGATAATAAGTACAAAGGGTCGTCCAGTGATACCATCTCGGGAAAGCGCCGACTCCCTGTTGGCATAAAGCTGCATACTGAACTAACATGTAATTTGTGGAAATCGGGGTCAATGAGGTTCGGCCTTTAGAAACGTAGAGCTTTCTCAGAGAGGTGACTCTTATATACTAGGGCTATTGGATATCAATGTCTCGGGACTTGTAAGACCGTGGAAAGCTTGAATATTTAAAGGAATCGTGCAACTACGTTCATCGCGTCACTAACCATAACAGTCGACACTACGTGGAGCATTGCAGGTGTCGAAATTGGATACAATATCCGTGCGTCTTGAAACAGAAACATCAGTGAAAACGTCAAAGGTTTGTTGAAGCCTTATGTGAAATTTGAGGAACTGGACACCGTGGAATGCGCTGTGAATCTAGGCCACCCAAGACCTAAATTTGAGATATAGCTCATTAAAGATACGTGGCTAGAAAGCCACCGGTCATAGATCGACAAAAGCTGGAAGGTTAAGTGCCACGCAATTCTCTTTCTGGACAGATCATGATACCACTTTTACCAGATAACACAAGCGCCGGAGGTGCAGGAACGAGACAATGATAGCTTTGCCGCAAACTGTGGGATTTTAAAGCGTAGGACAGTGATATTGTTAAGTACCTGGATCAGAGCTCGGAAGGTAATAGCAGCATTAAGCTGCAGTCTCAGGGTGAGGCAGGAGAACAGCCATTTATAGCGGTAATCATAGTGTACATCTGCTGAGACAGGAAAAGATGACTGTTGGTCGTAGTACATAGAGTGTTTTTCTGGCGGTATGATGATGGATTGTTGTAAGTTGGTGTATGTTAAGATAAAGCCGGTAAGGTGTCGAAGCGACTGTAAATGGCAGGTAACAGGAACATACAATGGAGTCATGATGTAATGGTTCTGCTGAGTCAACACTACTATGTGTACGAGCGCCCAATTTGCGATGATCTGCAGCTCATAATAAGCAAATTACAGTCACGACTCCAGTGCAAATGCCGATTCCTACAAACGATGTACTGCAAAACTGCATGATTGGATGCTGTTCATTAGGTGCGGTTGACGCGGTTGTCGAGATTCTTCAACTGTTCATGAAAGATAACAAAGATCACTCACTCCGCCGGGCACTCCTGGCGGGGTGATCGGAAAGTGGCTGGTTATTCCAAGTGGACGGTCTGACGTTTCACCGACTTTCCATCATCCGGTGACACAGTTGCTCAGAGTAATCGTTGCCATGCACAAACCCATTTCGATTCATTTGTCCATAGTCGCGCAGAGCTTATGAATCAGTATGGACATCAACATTAAATTCTTGCAGTACAGCTCGATATTATGCTTAGACGAACTAGTCAAGTGTTTCTCTGGCGCCGACGGAATTTACTCTTCGAATTGCTGCATTGAAAAGTGCGGTCTGCAGATTGATAATGCTAGTATCAAGAAAATCATAAATTAGACCGTACCTTCAATCCAAAAGGACAAAAACATGGCTTGGTCTGGCCGACTCCTTATATAAGTGTTGTAAAATTCATGAATGCACGGCACGGTCCCTCACAAATCTCGATGAAATGGATATCAAATAAGTCCACATGTGGCGGAAGAGGCAGCCTTCAGGGATGTACAAATAAGCCTTTAAGTTTATAATATTCAAGTCCATACGATCGGTTTATTAATGTAATCGTAACAATTTAATTCCTGCCATAGGTTGAAAGTTTAATCTAAACAGATACACTTGGTGAAAACACGCGATCAAGTTTGGGTCTCGTCAGCTATAAGCGGCAGAAAAAAACCACCCTGATCATACCAAAGAGCTACTTGCAATAAAGTATGCACTAGTCAGGATCACAATATACCTGTTTGGCTCCAAGCCGTTCGTGTTTCCTACTGATCTTTGGGTGGATAGGGGATTCGCATGATTGATGTATGTATATCAGAACATGACAGAAGATTTTGTCGGTTGATAAGATCGCGCGATGCGGTATGAGTGTGTATTTTCGAGTTTTTGTGTGTAAACCGGTGATTACATCGGCAGAAAAAACCACCCTGTTCATAACAGAGAGCTACTTGCAATGAAGTATGCACTAGTCAGGATCACAATATACCTGTTTGGCTCCAAGCCGTTCGTGTTTCCTACTCATCTTTGAGTGGAAAGGAGATTCGCATGATTGATGTAAGTATATCAGGGCATGACAGAAGATTTTGTCGGTTGGTTAGATCGCGCGATGCGGTATGAGTGTGAATTTTCGAGGTCTTTGTGCGTAAACCGGTGATTACATCGGTTTTATGGATTGGATAAGGGTATATTCTCGTCTGTGATCAGAAATATGCAAGCTCCATGGAGAATTTCAGGGCTATCACTCAGTGGGAAGTTAGGCATGCTCATATAGTACACACAAATAATAATGTTTTTTCAAGCCAGATCGCTCAACCAAAGAAACTTCGATGGTAAAGCACGAAACAGAAGCCACCATAAAAAATGGCCAGTGATGATGCTATGCTCAAAACCAAGCGGGTCGACAGCCACTTCAGGATGAACCTATAGAAACCGTCGATGAGACGTCGAATTGGACGCTATCCGGCGTACACCAAGTGTCAGCATATGCCTTCCAAGCGTTTTAATGAAAAAAGGTTGGAGCTGGCAGAACATCGTCCATTTGTTCATGCGCG